GGAAAACTACTAAAATTTTCAAAATATGTACACACCTTAATGAAAAAGAACTCACTGTGGAGAACAAATTTTATTTGAAGGAAAAATCTCTTCATCTTCAATTTTGTAGTTGTAGAAAATTCAGTGTTAAACATGAAAATCGGATCTACTCCATCTTTATAAGTGTTACTAAATTCTTAAAAGAAATTTTTTTAAAAATTGGTGCTGTTTGTAAGAAAATTTGGAAATTTTCCGGAGGGCTTCCTCTAAAGTACCCCCAAATTTTAAAGATTTTTTTCTTTTCAAAATTTCAAAGATTTGACTCCAGTCAGATCGACACGAGTTTTTTCAATTTGGAAAAATACTACTAATGGTTGAGGTGCTAGTATTATTCACAGAAACCTGATGGACGGAAGGGTATCAGGGGAACCCAAAACGTGTATTTCCGTTGAAATCTCGAAATGGATTATCCGTAGCATTACATAACTTTCCATATACTTCGCGTATTACTCCGTATGTACGTACGTACGTACACGGGAAAGTAAAAGTTGATACAACAAAAATAAAGAATGTATTCCAGGATCAGTGGGTATTCACCGCAAGTACGCCGCGCCGCGCCCTTTGTATATTTACGAGCTTGGTAGACAGACGGCTGAGCGATTTGACGAACGCAAACCGGATTCGGTCAGTGGAAAATGGATTCGCAAAATTTTTGACGGTAAACTATGCGGTGTAAAATTCACAACCGCAAAGAACAATTGCTTGAGCTACTTGCGTTGTTGTTCACACGACACTACTTTCAGCGCAGTTCTAGATCACGCAGTGTATGGCTTAAAATTTTACAAACTCATTTTCAGAATGCGCCCCCAGCGATGGAAATCCTTAGGGTAGTGAATGACGGAAAATGATTTCTTGGATGGTTAATTAGTTTAAATCTAATGTTTATTTTGCATACCTATATAAATTAGATTCAAAACTCCAGGTTTCGCATTTAGCATTTCGATTGCAATTAGGAGCCGCTTTCAGGACTGGAGTTTTCGAGAAACCCTTCAATTCCAGTGTGAATCTCTTTGTAAAAGTTCTGTGACCATATTGACTTCGCTTCGCTATCGGCAGATTTAATCAGAGAAACAATAAATGAAATAATCGGTTCATACCATGCGTCGGCGGGACTCTGGTGCAGGCTTCGCTCATCGCTCAGCAACCAGTCGCGTGCCCCTCCACCCGTTGGCCCGACAACCGCGCGCCTTTCCGACCACGAATTTGGTGGTTCCAATAGCCCCTTCGAGTGAACAATTAAAAACCCCATTCGAAAGAATTCCAGGACGCAGCCCAGACATAATTTGTAGGAGTAAATCTAAAAATAAAATAAAAAATTCTCATATATCAGTTCTCCCACCGTTCGATAAGGAGACTTGAGTATGTTTAGGGTTTCCAAAACATTTTAGGTTCATAAATAAGTAGCTAACCATTTTTACTTTCTTCCGTACTTTTATAGCAAAGATTATATAATTCTTCAGTGAAAACGGCAGTGATTTTTCGGCAGAAAAATGCGCATTGTAGATCCCTTATACCGAAAGAGATAATAATTCTTGTTTCTATATGTAGTTTTGCACTTCCTTTAACACATTATGTAGTTACAAGCTTCATGTTGTGAGACCTTGATATCAAAAAATTGTTTTACGTCAAAATCTCTGCCCGTTCTTCTATCTGTCCTGTGAAAATTCTAGCAGCTAAACCGTTGGCAGGATTTTCTTCAAATCGATATTTGCAGTTGATCTGTCTGATAACGAGGCCTCTGAAACCGATGATTTAATTTTTGGGGATACTATACCTAAAGCCTCAAGGTCATTTTCAATTTTTCCGAAAACAAAATGACACCTTTTTTTCTTCATCCTTTCTACATCCTCCCAATCTTGTCTTCCAGTTCGTCTAATTTCTTCTGAAAATTTTCGATATGTTCGTTTGGAGTGAAGTAGCAGCTTACATATGTAACCCCGGCTATCTTCACCCTAACAAACCCATCTTCGGCGCCCTGTTCTTGTATTCTGTAGGTACTCAGATCGGGTACCCATATCGCTGCTGCCTGACTTCTCGCTGAACCATCCCCGATTGTGTCGGTTAATATATAGATCACTCACGATTAGCACGTCTACACTCATCTCGCCCCTGATTTGGGTTAGAAGATTTTTGGGTTAGAAGATCATCTGCCTTCGATTCAAGTAGAGCAAGGCACCCTGGTGTTCGGCCGTGTTATTTGAACTGCGAGGTTTGCACTTTCTTCAAGTAGCTTTGCTACCGCAATTTTGACTGCTTCCTCCGTCGTCACGGCAGTCCCTGATTATTAGCGGCGGATTAAAGCCTGCTTGTTATTCTCCGGCATCGCCTTGGTGAATTCCAGATTTGGTTTGTCTAACAGTCTGTATATCCGCGCTATTGTCTCCTGGATTTACTTTGCTGCGGATATCTTTCACGATGTCAGCAAAAGTCTTTCCCGATGACGGCTTTATTATTATTGCGTCCCGATGCTTTCTGCCTTTCAGAGCCTTCTGGTTCTTTGAGGTGACACGTGGAACAGTGGCATGTGTGCTTCTCTCACTTGCATCTTCCGTTTCATTATTGTCGTCTTTCCTTTGTCGATGTTTGTGTGTTATTTCACAACAGTCGATTGGGGAGGGAGTCGATATGCTTGTCTTTCCCAAGATAAAGACGACTTCTATTCCGCTCCGCCGGAACATCCATTCTAGGATCTTTCTTGTGTAGTTCCTGTCGAGTCCTTCTGGAATGGGAATAACAATATTTTCCGTGCTTGTGATTGCATTACATCCTTCCATTTCTTTCGCATATCATTTGTATGATATGTATGAGACTTTGTAGTCTCCAAGTCATTTATGCAATTTTTGTCTACTGCATATGGAATGAGATAGAAGTATCGAGATTCCTTCTCTTCCCCTCCTCGGCTCGATGGGTGTTCGTGGCCGTGTGTATGAACTCCACCTTCCGTTCTTCAATTTTTTCCCGACATTGGAAAACTGCGGAGAAGTTTCTTGTAAACTTTTCAACATTTTTTTCTCCCTCTTTCTCAAAATTGACGACAATCGCTAAGTCCGAATCTCCTTAAATTTGTTTGTGATGATACCTATCACAGTGCGAGTGGATTGGAATGCATCATCCTTCCATTTCCTGTCAAGAATTTGACCTAGGTCATCAATGCTCTTCGCCCTTGATAATACTTCCAGATCTACCTCTTTGTTTTGAATATCCATTTGAATGCACATCTCCATCGATTTCTTTTCCTGTTGGGAATTACTTAGAGATTCTAGGTGTCCAGCAGATGGCATCCTTCGCTATTTTCTTCCCATTCTTTCCAACAGGTTCGCAGCAGCTCTACTGCGTCCCCGATATATTTCAATCCTTTCTTAATTTCATCTTTCGTGTTCCGCGTCTTAACAAGTGCAGACAGATTCTTGCATTCCTCAAAAAGCCCCTCTATAATACTACGAATATCATGTAGCAGTAATAGTATTATCATTATAAGTAGTAGCAGTAAAATGACAATAACATGTAAATTTTACTTTTACTTTAAACATTAAACAACACAAATTTTAAAATATTGAATAATTTTGCTTCTCAAAATAATTATCTACTGTATAATATATTAATCTACCTGTAATAAGTATTGTAGTATTTTTCCTAAGCCAATGACCCCATCTCGATCAGGTATTTTGTCCAGTTTCCCTGGTCCTTTGAGCAAATGCCCTCATTTTGCTTCTGGACAGTAATGTAATTTCACACTCTGCACCCGAGACATTGTATTGTCTACACATACACGATTGTATTTGTATATGTGTCTCAATAAAATATTACTATTACTATTATTATTATTATTATTATTATTATTTATATTATTGGTGGCGTATAGGCCATTACTGACTACGCTACACGATTAACCTGTGTCATTCTTCCAGGATCAGCTCTTCAGCTGTATCCTTGGATTACAACAAGGTTGTTACGCCTTGTAGTATGACTTATGAGATGATAGGTGAAGGGACAATCACAAATACGACCATGTCTACGCAGGACTTGAACCTGCAGCCTCCTCGGCACAGACGATGGCTGCCGCAACCGTCTGCGCCACGGGGCCGGCATCATCATTATCATTATTATTATATGCACGAGAAGTCACGAAATCCCTTTTCTCTGTTCTCAATGGCAATTAATAATGCCTCACAATCTGGACATGGCATTTGAGTAGGAACAAGTCAATGTTGATGACACCACTGCACACTGACTACCTCATTTCCCACAATATTTGATAAACTCATCCAGTTCATGTCGACAACACTGAATACTACTAATACCTACTTAGATGATGAACTTTGGCAGAATTAACTTAACATATGTTAAGTTGCAAACCTAGTGTCATATGAAGAATAAAATCCCCCAATATGTAAAGAATAGGCAAATGTTTAACTTATAAAAATAAATAAATCATAATTTGAGTGAATAAGATGAAATTTATAGCACTATTAAGTTATGTGTCAATGTTTTAAAAAACTGGACCAAAAAAACAATTGTTTCTTGATACTAATGTTGACAAAGATGATCATCAATTACTATTTATTTTAACTTAACAAAACTGTAACTATGACACTTTTTCATTCACAAATATAACTACACACTAAAGTATGTAATAAATACGGTACTACAGATATATGCTCTGTTTACAATTCCATGCTAATGATGTTTTAGACAACTTAAAAAAAGCTAACTGCATTTGACCCAGAACATTACTCTCAAATAGATACTTTTTACTCTTCAAGAAAAAATCGAACAAAGAAACACCTAAAAGCCCAATTCTGAATCCTTATATACTGTATTAAAATATAAAGGAATAATACTGATATTAACTCACACTGTGGCAAAAATTATTTGATAGGATGAAGCACGAAACATCAACACTTGTACCATGAGAAAAAAAACCCAAAGGGGGTGAAGTACAGTCACAGAATACATATTTATGGTACAGTGAAGTTTTTCCTCGGGAGGAAAATAATAATAATAAATCAATTTGAAATTGGAGGTTGTTAAATTAAAGCAAGGCAATATCAGATAATATAAATATGTATTTTACAAAATTTTTACAATTGTACACAATGTTTTAAAAATGTTTGTCAACTACTAAGTGCACTATTAATCATCAATAAATGATGAAAGATAAACTTCAATTATTAAACAGTAGCATAATGTTAGTTTGCTGTTGTTACCATGGCATCAGTCTTTGGGTTGATATCACCCATGTAAAGGAACATAACAAATTAAACTCCTACAATTGCAGGCATTTTAACTATTAATACTTTTTTTTGGTAACAAAATAAGACAGATCAATAGCAATATCTCTTGAAATAATGCAATACTCAAAGAATGAACACTTCCTTTGATGGATACAATTCTACTTCGGGTGTCAGAATACAAATCAAATTTGTCATGGTAACAGTTCTTGGCACACCAAGGAAGAGTCATGATGAGTAAAATCTTGTGTACTTCCTTTATGTACTTATTTTCATGAATTTAACAATGATTGCGTTGCCATGTGCAGCATTCGCATGCTTCGAGTAATTTTGTTGTTAGGATTACTTTGCATGTATGCAGCAAGTTGTCTCTGAAGATTGCTAATAACAGAGGGAAGATGTTCCCGAGTCATGATGTTCCCTGGATCAAGATTCATAACTGCTTCTTCCAAGTACCTATTTGTAAATAATATAACACAATTGTGAATATTATCACATGTCACAACATTTCTGAGAGTCATTGTGTATTGGATGCAGAAATACTCACTTATGTTTTAGCTCTGTGTGATTGGTCATATCTGCTGAGAGCTGCTGGATGAGTGAAAGTAGCACGTGTTGCTGCAGTGGACAGGGGGACTGATTAAACACCTGGGCTGGGTTCACTTTTTCACAAACAAACACCACTAGATTTAAATCAGATGCTGATAATGCCTACGGAAAATCAAACATTTTGTATTGATTTACCCCAACATTAATTTGGGGGAAGAAGACAATTAACAGGGTGTAAATAGGCGATTTTAAAAGAATTTTACACCCAGCCTTTTCCAAACAAACATAATTTTTCTCACCTGCTGAAAGGCAGCATTAATTTGGCCTTGAGCAATCAACTGCAACACTTGTGTCTGCTGTAAGTGGGCATCAAGAATGTGTGGTGCTGGAGTAACTGCTCTTGACCTGACAGCTGTGATGACACTATCTTCAATGAGAGACTTCTGCGCATGAAAACCTTTTGATATGTGTTCCTTAACTGCTTCTCCCACAGTTCGATTTACGCTTTCTTGGATACTGCAAAAATCAATACAATAATTATTATATATCTATACTAATATACAAAGACAGAAGTGCGTTGACTTACAACCTGATAATTTCTCAATCTACTGAACCAATACTGATGAAACTTTTGTGCTGGCTTCCTGTAAAGGTCTGGAGTACTATAGGCTATGATTCATAACAATAAACCTTAATATATTTACAAAATAATTACTTTTCTGGGCATTTTTTACCCATCTTCACATCACAGATTCAAGAGTGCATATGAATGTCAATATTTAGTTGCGTGCCAATAGAGGATGTCATCTGAGATCTACTAATTTCATCAATGTGCAGAATTATTATGAAATTCATTGGGGTTTGAATAGGGCAAAATTATGTCCGTATGTGAACATTGGTGATTTGTTAGTTCTGAACATTTATGGAACAATTGAAACAAAGCTGTGATTAAAGTAGTAAAGACACAAGCCTTCCAAGGTGGAATTCTTTGCCAAAGCCCATCTTCAATATCTCGCTGGCACGACTAAATCGAGTGCCACAGGGATAGAGAATTTACAACAAGCTTGCAGATGCATTCATTTCAATAGGAACATCTCGTGTCTTGCAGCCAATTGCATTAAATTCATAGAAATTCTGTTTTATAAAACATTTTCCCACTAGACATGAAAAACTGTTCCTGTAATAAGAAATAGAATTAACTTCCAGGTCGGTGACCCCTCATCTTGATCAGGTTTTTGTTCAAGTTTCCCTAATCAATTGAGCAAATGCTGAGAATGTCCATTTGTTTAGCTCTTCTGAACATAAACCTACCTACCCATACCCGTACCTTCTCTATGAGCTCTCCTTTTGCTTGTAGTGGTAAAGCTAGAGGTGTATTACTTTTTTGTTAGCAATGCAAAAAAAAATTAATCTTTGGTGTTTACTGATGCAAATAAGTTTTCTATAAGTCAGGATCAAAATGTCTAGTTTCTGAAATGTTGCGGATATAATTTTCTAAACATTGATTTAAAAAATTACAAGCACAATATTTCTTTACGTCATTTTTTTCTCTTTTGGAGCATTTCAAGCCTTTCACTACCAATTTTCACTTTTATTGGAATTTTTATTTTCTTTGAATATTCTGACTCAGTACCATCTCTTTAGTAGGTAGCTGCAAGATTAGTACCTAGGTTGCCTTTTGTTTCGGGATTTGGCAACCCTGGTGTTGCAATCTGGCAACTCTATCTGACAGCTCTATCGTAAAGTTGGATGATTTGAGGTTACACGTACTCAGAACGTTTTAACATACAAGTACTAGTTGTGTTGTTTACAGTAACTTAAAAGATTCATCTTGGCCCAAAAATGGAATTAAATCGTGCACATTTTCGTGCGAATAACTTTCGACGTGGATTAACTCAGCAACAGTGCATGGATGAACTTCATTCAATTTTTGGCGATGAAGCTCCATCAAGGACCACTGTTTATCGATGGTATGGTGAATTCAAACGTGGTCGTAGTTCACTCCAAGACGAAATTCGCGAAGATCGTCCAAAATCAATTGTTCCGAAAACCATTGATGCTCTGCGTGAACTGATATTGCAAGATCGTCATGTGACCTATCGTGAGATTAAAACAGCCTTAGGCATTAGTGGGACCAGCATACATTCAATATTGCATGAACATTTGACTGTCAGAAAAAATTGTTCGCGTTGGATCCCACACAATTTGTCAATCGCACAAAAAAAGGCTCGTGTCGATTGGTCGAAAGAAATGTTCAAAAAATACGATCGCGGTGCTTCGAAACACGTCTATGACATCGTGACAGGTGATGAGTCGCGGATTTACGCGTATGAGCCCGAAAGTAAACAGCAGTCGACTGTATGGGTGTTTCAAGATGAGCGAAATCCAATAAAAGTTGTTTGTGCACGAAGCACTTCCAAACAGATGGTCACCTGTTTTTGTGTTTTTTTTTCTCGTTTTTTTTTTCCTTCGAAAAAACTGGACATGTCGCAACCGTATCACTAGAACAACGCAGAACAGTCAATTCTGAGTGGTACATAACGATTTGTTTGCCAGCTGGCTTCCAAGAAATCAGGAAAACCAACCGCCGAAGACGGATCACTCTTCACCACGACAATGCGAGCGCTCATACATCGGCTCAAACAACTGCATTTTTGAGCATCCAAAACATCGATATGATGAGTCATCCGCCGTATAGTCCTGATTTGGCACCGATTGACTTCTTTTTATTCCCGTACGTAAAAAACAAACTGAGAGGTGAACGTTTTTCGATACTTGAAGAAGCGGTTGCTGCATTCAGAATGCATGTTTTGGAGATACCTCAATCAGAGTGGCAAGTGGTTCGATAATTGGTTCAAACGCATGCAAAAGTGTATAGATCTTCATGGGGAATATTTTGAAAAACAATAAAGTGATTTTCGATGATTAATACTAGTTTTCGCCTCTAATCCTGAAATATAAAAGGCAACCCTCGTACAGTACCGGGTTTGATGCAGGGCTGTGACTCACGTGTCCCATTGGAACTTTTGGAACAGCATATAAAATTTTCTTTGAAGAATGACACTGCTGTATACTGCTGTTTTCAATAAAAATAATAACAAAAGTTATATGTTATCGACAAAGTCGTGCCTACATTATTATTTTTAATATCTGAATCTGAACTTTCTGAATTGGTTTACTACGTAATTGTCATCAGCTACGGAACCATCACTGCTGAAGTTGAGATCAGGCACACTGTCCTTATCAGAAGCTTCTAATAATTGAGTCAGTTTTTCAACTTGTAGAACTTTTCTGGTCCTCTTTTTATTGTGGTTCACCTCAACTGAGAGTAAAAATTTCTTCAAGTCACAATAGTAGAGAACAATACTCTTCCTTCAGAGTACCTTTCTACTCAATAAAAGAAATAATGTAAACAGTACCTATATAATTGCTTAGATTATCAGATGCAAAAATCCTACACCAAATAAGTCTTGCAATTCAACATAGAAAATTAGCCAATTGATCAACTTACTATGTGCAAACGAATGCAAAATGCAGCAAAACTTAATCTCTACTCAGCAGCAACAATTGGTCCTGCATTCTTGTACTCTTGTTTGCCTCACCATTAGGTAGTAGTAGCTAGATAAACCAGCAGGACATGTATATTCCATTGGTAGTGAAAGAGTTAAAACAGCTTACAAGCATTTTAGGTGATCAAAATCAGCCTCTTCTTCTTCTTCTTATTATTATTATGATGATGATTATTACTGTTATATATTATTATTTTATTATTTGGTCAGGAAGTAATTAGTGTATAACATTGTACAGTCAATAAAACCTGCTTATTAAATTCTTTTGAATAGTGATTGCCACAACCAGGTTCTGTGAACCTCCCAACCCCAATGAAACATACTGACCGCGAGAACACGTTGTCATATAGTCAGTAGTCTGATCTACACCAGTAAACAATCTATAGTCAAATCTATATCAGTAATGCCCTCCTTTTTGCTGAATTTTCGAAAATTGCAAAAGTTACATATTTTCTGCATCTTCCTGCAACTACAGTATTGAAGATCAAGGTACTAAACCTCTAGGTACATTGCCTCTAAACAAAATCTATTCTTCAAAATTAAATCTTCAAATGAGAAAACACACTTTTTAAATTATGAATAGTTTTCACATAATTTTTAACGAAATGAAACTTTAAAAAACAAGTTTCTCAAAAATGGATCTAAATTTTATCTGTAAACTTTTTTGTGAGAACAGTCATACACTGAGTAACATGACATAAAACCAATTTTGATGAATGTAGATTTTAAAAAAATTACACAAATATAATTTTCTTTACAGATCACTCATGTTGTTAACAATTACTCTACATGCATCTGTTAAACATTATTTTTTACGACTCAAGTGCTTCAAATTATTTTTTAAGAAGTATCTCACAAACTCAAAACATCTCTCTGCGAAAATGAGTCTATATATCTATATATGCGCACGCACGTGCGCACTCACACACGCACACGTGCACACACACACACACACACACACGCCACATACTTTCACTGACATAGAATATCCAGGAGGGAAATACCAACCTGGCTATTCCAGCTTGAACTTGCCTCTGTACTTCCTGGCGCAACTGAAGTACTAAACTGTCCGTACTTGCTCTTAATGCTTCTGTCATTGACTGCAACTGGTTCAGGAGCTCTCTACTCTTCTCATGTTGTCTTCTTTGTTTATCAAAATGAGAGTCCATGTTTTGTAGGTCTATTCAAGAAAAAGACAATGAAATAACAAATCTTTAAAAAAATTACAAATTGAAGCAATCTTAAAAAAATTGATAAACAATTTTTTTTTCTGAAAGTTGAAAATGAAAATTAGTAAGTGTAATGCAACTTACATTCTTGGGTTCCCCTTGAAAATGTGTCATTGATTTGTTGGAACATACTCTGACATGCTTTCTCAAATGAAGGCAGCACCAAAGATGAAAAGACATCTTTAAAACAAGCTTGCATAGCAGGTTGCAAAGCTAGCACCATTGTGTTACTTAAAACTTCCAGCACAGACTATAACATCACAAGAACACGGAAAAGAAGTTCACAAGTCTTGGAATACACACAAATGCAGGTAAAAATAAAATTGCATTCTAATATACTATATATTGTAATTCCAGAATACCTTGCTTTGCACTAATTTAGTGATGTTTTCTTTAAGAAGATGATCAGTAGCAGATAATTTCTGAGTCATTTCAACATGCAGCTGACGTTTTAAAGGTTCTATACTTCCGACTACGGCTGTAATTAAGATAATACAAATAAATGGTAAGTGCTCCATTCAATATTTAAAATTAGATCAATGTTTTTTTCATTATGACATACCAATATAGATTTCACTAACTAATACACTAGATATCAAGTAATTATTTATAAATCTTTTTAAAAAATGTACATATAAACAAATTCTTGTGTGTGCAAAATACTTCTTTAATTTAAAACTTTTATCTTGTGAACATTATTCAGAGAAAAAAGGGAGAAATGGGAAAAAATAGTACATTAACAGTATACCTGGTGTAAGATTGTTCTTAAACTCTGATACGACAAGATCTTGAAGTGATGAAGTAACCACTTTTCCCAGCATCTGGGGAAGAGCTGAGAGTATTACATCCTGTTTCTTTTGCTCAGTGTCTTCAAAAGAATGGGCAAGACCATCTAACACAGTTCTAGTGGAAACTTGTTGTTGGGCAAGTGCTGAATCGAGATGTGATACAAATGCTGCATCAGCTGCAGCAAGTGAAGTAACTTGCTGTTGCATTTGTTGGACATCTGCATGAACTTCCTACAACACCATTCAAAGTATTATTTGTTAGACTACAGTACAGCACTTAACTCTTAGAAATCAACTCTTTAATGACAAACCTAGCTTCATTCATTTGAAGTGTAAATAGATCAAAAGCGAAGATGACAAAATCAATAAACTACTTCAGAGATAAGTATGATAATAGGATTCATAGTGGGCATATGAATTCATAGTCATAGGGAACACTTAAAATTCCTTTGAAGAAAGAACACTAATTGTTCTTATCAGTCATTACCTGTAATTGGGTTTGTTGCAGCTGTTGGGCTTCAGCAAAAGCAGATATCTGCTCAGTTAATGATGCTAGAGTCGATTCAATTCGCTGATTTTGTTTCAGAAGGTGAGAGCTTTGAGCATCATTGTCTGCACCAGGTGCTCCAGAAGAACTTCTGCAAATCATAACCAAATTTGTACTACATTATATAAACTGTTTTCAAGGCAAGAGACAAGTCAACAACAATTAGTGTCTTTAAATACTTGTGGTCCAAGTAGCAAACTAGTGAAGATTCAACAGCACATACTCTCTCACTATTTTAACAGCTGTGCAGCATTATCCTTACTATATGAACCTAAAAGTGTTTTTAACCGGCAAACATTTCTTTACTCCACCAAGACGAACTCAGATGTATACGTACGCTTCCGCGGCTTGAATCCATGAATTCTCGGCTATCCGGGAGACGCGGAGTCTCCTGGATAGCCGAGAATTCAAGACAACTCAGGTCTATTGAGTTAACTTGCCATGCATTTTACCACTACATTACGTAGTCACTCGGCTGAACCTACTTTTCCCAAATCTTAAAAAACTGTCTAACCCTCTAAAAAGCACCATCATTTCCCTCTATGCAATTTTTGAAAATTCAGAGTTTAATTCAAATTACATCAGTGCCACTCTTAGGAGTGCTTTGCACTAACTGTGGTAAATATTTGAAGCAAATATTTTGAGAAAATATTATTTAAAAAATAATTTGCATTATCTTTACATAGAAATTATGTCAAAAATACTATTTTTCAAAAATATCATATAAAGTTTTTTAAAAATCTTTTTTTTTAGAACAAATTTCATTGATGACAAATATCTACCTTCAATATTGTATTTTTTAATGTTCAGGGAGGGAGAGCAGAGGAAGAGAAGGGGGAGGAGGAAGAGAAGGGGGAAGAGGAAGAGAAGGGGAGGGAGAAGGAAGGAGAGAAGGAAGAGGAAGGGAGGGGGAGGGACGGTAGGGGAGAGGGGAGAAGGATAAGAGAGGGTGTGGAGCGTAGGTTCGTGGGAGAAGGGGAAGTAGAGGGTAAAGGAGAAGTGGGAGAGGCGGGGAGGGGGATGGAGAGGACGATGGAGGAAAAGTGAGAGAGGACAAGGGGAGCGGGAGGAGAGGAGGCGGAAGGAGAGGAGGGGGGAGGAAGGAGGGGGAAAGTGAGGGAGGAGGAGAGGGGGGAGGGGAGGAGAGAGGGGAGGGGAGGAGAGGGGAGGGGAGGGAGGAGAGGGGGAGGGGAGGAGAGGGGAGGGAGGATGAGGGGGAGGGGAGGAAGAGAGGGCAGGGAGAGGGGGGAGGACGAGGAGGCGAGGAGAGAGAGGGGGGAGGAGAGGAGGGAGGAAGGGAGGGGAGGGAGGAAGAGAAGAGAGGGAGGAGGGGAGGGGTGGGAGAGGGGGAGGGAGGGGAGGAGAGGAGAGAGGAGGAGGGAGAGGGAGAGGAAGTGCGAGGGGAGGGGAAGAGGAGGGGAGGAAGAAGGATGGGAAGTGCAGAGGGGAGGGAAGAGGAGGTGGAAGGGGAAGAGGAGGTGGAAGGGAAGAGGAGTGGCAAGGGGAAGAGGAGAGGAAGAGGAGGGGAGGGAAATAGGAGGGGGTAGAGGGGAGGAATAGGAGGGGTTGAGGGGAGGGAAATAGGAGGGGGAGAGGGAAAGGAGAGGAAGAGAGGAGAAGGAGGCTGGGAGTTGAGGAGGGAGGGATGGAGCGGGGAGGGGATGGATTGATGGAAGGGATGCGATGGAGAAGTGGATCGATGGAGGGGGATGCGATTGTGAGGAAGGAGGATGCGATGGAGAAAGGGGGGATCGAGGTGTGAGGAGGGGATCTTCGAATGGAGGGGGAAGCTTCCGATGGGAGGGGAAAGCTTTCGGATGGAGGGGAAGCTATTGGAAGCTGAATTTGGAGGGGAATGCTTCGATGGGCAGGGGGAACTCTCGATGGAGGAGATTGCCTTCGATGGAGGGCGGATTGCTTCGATGGAGGGGAATGCTTCGATGGAGGGAGATGCTTCGATGGAGGGAGATGCTCTCGATGGAGGGAGATTGCTCGATGGAGGGAGATGCTTCGATGGAGGGAGATGCCTTCGATGGAGGGAGATGCTTCGATGGAGGGAGATCGGATGAGGCGGATCTTCGATGGAGGGAATGCTCATGGAGTCTTCGATGAGGGAGATGGCTTCGATGGAGGGGATGAAGAGTGGAGGGGGAGATGAGGCAGGGAGGGGGATGGGAAAAGAGGGAGGGATGGAAAGATGGAGGGGAGATGAGAGGGAGAGGGATGGAGAGATGGAGGGGGAAGAAGTTGAGAGTGGGATGGAAAAATGAGTGGGGATAAGAGAGATAGGTGAGAGAGGGATGGAAAGATGGAGGGGAGGGGGGGATAGAAAGATGAGAGGGAGGGGGATGGAAAGATGAGAAGGAGGGGGATGGAAAGATGAGAGGGAGGGGGATGGAAAGACGAGAGGGAGGGGGATGGAAAGACGAGAAGGTGGTGGATGGAAAGATGAGAAGGTGGGGGATGGATAGATGAGAGGGAGGGGGATGGAAAAATGGAGAGGAAGAAGAGAGGGAGAGTGATGGAGAGGAGGGGAAGAAGAGAGGGAGAGGGATGGAGAGGAGAAGGAAGGAGGGTGAGATAGAGTCAGACCGACAATTGACTTTTTGGCATAACGAATTCTTACTACACATGTGAGAGGAAGTAATTATCTATCTATCAAGAGAGAAAGAGAGAAAAGAGAGGGAAGAGAGATGGGGAGAAAAGAAACACACACAGAAGGAAGATTTTACTCTTTTTTAGTTACTTTGACCAGCTATGAGTTTTTCTGTACATGATTGGATGTTTTTTTCTCTTCTTATGGAGTAAGGTAAGAAAGTAATAAGAGGATATGGGAAAAGATTGTAAAATGTACACTATTATATATTAATATTTATTAATAGAAAGATGAAGTCTTGTAATCAGGTAAAAGCACAGAATCAATTTCAATACTGTACGATAAATAAGGATGTTGTCTGGTATCAATACTTTTTATTCAGCTTATGATTGTTTTGATCGCATAACAATCATCCTCGGAGCTTGCAGCTTCCGGGCCGAGAGCAAAGTTCTTTGTTTTTTGTAAGTAGAACTTTGTTTTCGGCCCAAAAGCTCTGAGGATCGCTATGCGATCGAAACGATCATAAGCTGAATAAAAAGTACTGATACCAGACAACATCTGTATTTCTTTATCATAATAAAAAGGTATCTACCTCACCAGCAATCTAATCAATACTGTATCTGATAAAATTCTAGCAAAAATTAAAATACCTTTTACTGGAAGTGTCATCTCCAGCAACTGATTTGTGCATATCTGACATCAATGACAGTGGGATGTGAGGCCAGCCATTTTCATCCACCTTCTCTTTGGAAAGAGACCCATACTGATGGCTTTCCTTAGGTGATGGAACTTTAGGTGGAGCACTAAAGGTGCCATAATATTCATAAAAAATAAAACAATGCCATTTGGTAAAACATTCAAAAAAACATTGTTTAGAATTAAACACACATTTAAATTATCTGGTTGTTCTATACGTTTTTCAAGTTTTTGAAAAAGGTATTCAATTCTATTCATATTCAGGCCTAAGAATTCATAATTCAGAACTTATTTCAGTTCTAATATAATTAGAAAAAGATTGTGACAACTGAGAAAAAATTTCTTGTGACTATCGAAGATAATTTATACTGGTTAAAGGATGGTCTTCCTTGCCACAAGAAACATGAATTATACTTAAAATTTAAGTAATAAGTATGGTCAATTTCAACATTTTTCAAGATGATTTCCAGCCTTTAGTCTTATTACTTAACATGACATGTAAATGATACTTCTATACGAATTTTAATTCAATACTTGAGTGTTTCTTTAAAATCAGCTCTAAAATATCCAACTTCAGTTTAAATGTAATTCTTACTTTTAGTTCCAAGTTATGAAATTGCCAATTTGAATTAAAATATTTCTTACTACTCTAATAGTTTCCATACTTTTTCTCATACTTCCGGTTTTTAGGAAAACAAGAAGGACCAGTGTCCAAATGTATAATTTTCCACAAAAATGACGTTAACTTAGAAAATTATACTGTATCTAGATATTTCTAATGCAATATACAAGAACAGTATTTGTATCTTTAATGTAGGAATTGTAAAAGGTCATGGCTTTGCTCTTTAACTACTATAAGCCATCTTGCTTGTGATTTTTTCAGGCCATGATCATTCTTACTTTGAACCCATCTTTTACTCAAAAAGTACAATTTAACAAGTAAATCAATTCTCATTTTGTAATGTTGTAGTTGCTTAATTTCATAATAATTAGTTATTTTAATTCACAACATTTTGTGAAATAAGGATTTTATTGAAAAATAAATTGAATATTCTCATGTTATGCAATATATTCAGTTTTTAACTAGACAAACTAAGAAACATTATGAACAAATAAAATACTGGACTCACGGGACAACAGGATCCATGACATCTACAATGTTGTCAGGCAGGTAGTCTGAACTTGCTTTGAGAGAAAGTATCTGTTGTACTTCTCGACTAGGACTTGATCCTCCGCTAGCACATCCTTCACGTTGAATCGAAGGTTCTAAGGGCTCAGAAGTGGCCAGGGGCCGAGTAGCCTGCCAATGAGATGAGTTAAGATGAATTTGAGAGAAGTAAAGATGAAGGGAGAGAGAAAAAAAAGTATGTTTCTCAAGGGCAAAGGAAAAAGTGTGGTATCTTTCCCTTGAAGAAAAACTACCTTTATTATTGCGAGTAGTATATTATTACATTCTTTTTAGTGAAATAGATAAAAGAACTAGTGGGGCTACAAGAGCACATACTTTTTCACATTATTGTAATGGCTAAGCAATATTGTAATAAAACATGAACCTGCAAAGGTGTTTCCAGCAAGCAACATTTTTTTCCCAGACCGGGATTCTCACTCAGGTTTAGCATGCTATTCATAATATCTCTACAGCACCACCTTCACAACTAAACACGACCTTCCTGTTGTTTTAAAAACAAAGTTGAACATTTACATTTACAATTGCAATTCTCAAAAATTTTAGTTTTTCACGACCTCATTTAAAAAACTGATTTTATTAAGAAAAAATCTCTATCTTCAATATTGTAGTCCAAGGGAGATATTGAAAACATTTAAAACTTTTGCAATTTTCAAAAATATGTAGTTCAATTAAAATGGAACCTACATCTTTTTATAAACACACCTTGCTCTATCTGAGGGGAAAAAATTAACTAAAAAATTTGGATCCATTTTTGAGAAAAATTCGAAAATGCTGAGTTCATGTGAAGTACTTTCAAAATAAAGAAATCCATCATTCAAATTTACAAGGCCTCAAATTCGTCTAGATTGACCCTGGATGACAATTTTGGAGAAAATTATCAGAAAAAGCGATAGACCACAGATGGACAGATAGACAGATATACATTTTGCCATACCAATTTTTTGGTTTCAAGCACCACAAAACAAGGATTCAAGCTTGACAAAATGTTAGAGGAGGTTATTTACTTCATGAAGGAGCAAGATTAATTTCTACTTTTTTGATAGTAGGTATCCACAGGAATTTTTCTGTCGAGAAATCAACACTTTCTGCTGCAGCATTCAATACTCACTCAATAGTAAATTGATTGATTGATAGGGTAGTGTTCATGGTTTCGCTTTGAGGAACAAACACACTGTGAACCACACCTTTCGTATCAAAAAAGTCAATCAATGTAGTTTTCCCTTTTGACCTGCTCATGCTTGCTTTTTTGGGGGTTGGTGATGCCAATGGAAGTGTGCCAACATGGAAATGTGCCACTCGAAGCTTTAACCTTTTCTCTCTGGGTCATACCTGCAACACCACATTTCATCCCCCCTAATGACATTGTCCAAAAAACCAGGATCAATTTCCAGGTGTTAAAGAAGTTCAGTCACAATAGTCACCGAGTGATTCTTCTGATCGTCTGTCAACATCTTGAAAACCAACTTGGTACACACCTTCCTTATGTTTATTTAATTTATTAGTCAACAGTTCATGTACATATGTTTTGGGAAGGTTGAGAGTTTATGCAATCATCTGGACACTCAACAGATCGTCAGAATTTAGCAGACTGCACACATGGGTCAAATTGTCTTTGGTTGTTCTGGTTGACAACTGTCCAGTGTGGGGTTCGATGACAACCTCTTCCTGGCCTTGCTAAAACTCTTTCAACCACCTTGAAACTTGTAAAAGTGAGAGAGCACAAGCCTTGTAAGCTTGCACAATCTTTTCAGGGATCTCCACAAATGATTTTTTCTATTTTGAACGGAAGATTTTTTACATAACATTGCTTGAGTGACGACTCCATCGTATTTTGTGACACAGGCATTAAACAGGGGAACGGAGACAGTGATCCTGATGCCCATACTGCTCAGTGCAGACTGACGAAGGCATTGCTTTGAAGCTTATAGACATCCACACCTAAGCAACCAGTCAGAATCCTCTGTGGCCTATTTTAGTACCAACATTAATTTAATTTCAGGACATCTTGTATACTGGTTAATACAGATGGTACTGGATTGATGACTAGCTCTTGTATTTGCTGCACTGCACGATGCAGATAAGTGTCAGCACGAGCAGTGGCTCCTAACCCCAATGTTCATTTCACAAGCTTGTCTAAGCAGTGCTTTCAAATTTATAAGGAAAATTAAAAAATCCAAATACTACATCCTCAATATATAATTAATTTTAAATATTTAATTAATTGATTAATTAATTAAATAAGAGTTCAACTGTACAGCATTCAGAAGACCATAAATGTCAATACCCCTAGATTACTTTTTTAACTAATTGCATTAAGTGGGAAAGATTTCTCCAGTCCTTGCTGAGCACTTTTTCTCAGAGTAACTTTAAAATGTATTCCTGAAGTTGCTATAACACAATGGTTTTCTATATAAACAAATTTTTTATTAATTTTCAGCCATTCTGCAATCCAACATGAAGACTGAATATTCACACCCAAAAGTTGTTAACAAGTGAAAAAAAGTTTTTTGTTATTAATTTTTTTACTTCAGTGCACAAATACACAATGAAGTGTCAGACTAAAATATAATTGAGCGTACCCCTGGTGAATGTGTTGAGAGTTGTATGTTATCATCACATGGTGCTACAATACTGGTAAGCAAGCTGGGAGATGCAGACAACGTTGATTCAAGTACAGGTGGTACATGTGGTGAACTGTCTGAGTGATGAGAGATCTGTAAAAGAAAATATAGCATTCAATTTTTAAAATAGGCAGGTAAAAAGGCATTTAAGTATTCTGGCTAAACAAGGCATCCCAAAATAAGTTAAATTAAAATTAAAAAGGACTTTTAGCAAAAATAATTTTATAACGAAGAAAGTGATTAAAATTCATATTTTAACATAGAAATTTACAACAGCACTTACAACGATGTTGTGTCTACAAAAAGCAGGCTCTCTTTTGAATCTACAAATGGCATCCATGGCAATAATCACTATTATATTTTCCTTCAAATTGGAGTAATCTAGCACTATGCTGAGCTTGTACCGTATATCATGTACAGGAAGCTTTCTTTGAAATGTATTGGAAGTAAGAATTAAACATAGGGTGTTTTAAAAATATGGACCATCTCCTTTTTTTCTTCTTCACTCCCCTCTCTCTCTCTCTCTTTTTCTTCTTCACTCCTCTCTCTCTCTCTTTTTCTTCTTCACTCCTCTCTCTCTCTTTTTCTTCTTCACTCCTCTCTCTCTCTTTCTTCTTCACTCCTCTCTCTCTCTCTTTCTTCTTCACTCCTCTCTCTCTCTTTCTTCTTCACTCCTCTCTCTCTCTTTCTTCTTCACTCCTCTCTCTCTTTTTCTTCTTCACTCCTCTCTCTCTCTTTTTCTTCTTCACTCCTCTCTCTCTCTCTCTCTCTTTTTCTTCTTCACTCCTCTCTCTTTTTCTTCTTCACTCCTCTCTCTTTTTCTTCTTCACTCCTATCTCTTTTTCTTCTTCACTCCTATCTCTTTTTCTTCTTCACTCCTATCTCTGTATTTTACTTCCAATTATGTGGGCGACTCTTAAATAGCTGAGAATTCAAATGTAAATCAATTTTTCTTTTTAAGACTGTCTTTGCAACTTATGCCTAAAACTTAAATTTTAAAAAAAGTATGAGGAAAACTGATTTCCAATTAATTTTCTCATATTTAATTTTTTTAATTTTTTTATTTGAGAGTTGAATTAAGAAAGGAGATTTTATTAGCAAAGTATTTTTTATATTTGCAAAAATAGGATTTAAAAGAAAACTTCATGCAGTGGATTTTATTGGGGAACATTATTTTTAAAACACTGTTAACGTACAATACTTATTTTCATATTACCCTTCAGCCCCAGTTTTAACGTTTTAAACCCATTTAATCATCACAGGTATTACTCGCGTAACTTTTCTTGAACGATACCTTGCTTCCTCTCTGACACAATGAACAGAAGGCAAAAGCTCGCAGCAAGCTCGGATGACAACGTCCAAACACATCTTCACTGGCGCAAATTAGAAACAATTTTCTTTTGAAGATGAGAACTTCTATTTGTTATTTTCTCCAAAAATCTACAGAAATGACCGACGCAGGAACGAATCTAACACAGGAGATACCTCAAACTCCTTATAAAGTTAGAACGCAAATTATTGAGAGCGTTTTGAAGGTGTGACTGATTCTCCAGAGATTGGCATTGCTTCATAAAATCTAGTGGCCGATTTCATAACTAATACCCCTACTCTACCCACATTTCTTGAATCCATCGTTCAAGAAAAGTTGCGTGAGTAATAACATATTTGTATTGCTATTATTATCGTTAGAGAAACAAATGCGTATCCTGAAGCAATGTTGCAAAACAAATTTGCATTTTATACTTGTGTTGTCTTTGTCTGAAGAAATTGGAAATATCGACAACACCAAATGAAGTTCGTATTTTATTGTCAATTTACTTTATTCTGTGCTGTTTTTGTCTTTGCACTGCACCTTTGCAAAAACCATCCTTAAACACTGTAACAGTCATGTGATGAAATTTGAGTTGTTAATGAATATTTCGATAATAAAATTAGATGTTTTGTTATTTTATAGGTAATAATTTATTAAGAATTCATTGATAAAAAATAAAATTAAAAATGTTATCTGGTCATAGGGTGCCTTGATCCTCTGAAACCAAATGTAGAGCAATGATATAAATAAAAAACATGTTGGCTACTTACTTTAGGACTGAGAATTTCACCAGGGCTTTCTTTCTTTGCTGGAGAGTTGAAAGCATCAGGAGTCATCAGGTTTAACTGTGAACTTCTGTTAGTTGCAATTTCATGAATGGACCCATCTGCATCTGATTTATCTAATATACTTCTTGACAGATCAGAAAAACCATCCTTAAACACTGTAACAGTCATTTATATTCATTACAAAATTTTTCATCCAATTTTCTTTTCGTAGATATACAAGAGTTTGTCAGAGTTTTAAGACCCATATTTTTAAAGCAATTCAATTTAAAAATAATGGCAATAAACCAATAATGTCATCTCTCATGCATATATTATTTTTAGTATTGTTCTGTACATTTCTTTCTGTGATAGTGTACTGCATTCTAAAGATATCTTACTTTTAAAACAAGAACTGAAAAATTGTAAAGGGAGGTAGAACAGAGGTCAAGGCGTAAAACTTAATGTAATGAACTTTAAGTATTATAACTGAAACTTACATAATGAATCGCTGGACAAGGTTCCTAATTTCTCTACATTAGATCCTGAGGACCCAGATGGTTGGAAACTAATGTGACACTCCTGCAATGATTTTGGTTGAACTAAATACATTCTCACAACCACAGCCTGCACAGAGGGCAACTGCTCTTCTTCACCATCTTCTTAAAAATAAAAAATGAACAAGAATTATTGAACAATTTTAGTACTAAAGAAGAAAAATGTACCAAATGGGCACACATGAATTTTTTATCAATTTGTTGAGTCATTTTTATCTTTTTGTATACACATGTACACACCAGGTTATACACGAAGTACACAGAAAGTTATGTAGCGCTGCGGGTTATCCCCCCCACCCTTCTTCTCTCCCTTCAAAATGTCAATCCATCTGTCTGTGAACAATACTAGTACCTAAAACTATTCATTGGAATTTTGCCTAAAGTAAATATTCCCTAAAATAAACATCCTGAAATTTTGAAAAATATTTTTAAAATGTGGGCGATATTTTACAAGAAGCTTCTAGGGCATTTTAAAAAATATCATTTAATTTTTTAAAAGAACACTACTTATAAAGATGGCTCCCCTCTTTTGCACATTTCACGGTACCCTAGGGAAAATTGTGTAAATTGCAGGAAATGTAAATAAGGGAAAATTATTTTTCGTCAAAACTATGAGTACAGTATAATATCTAGATACATACAATTAATAAAAGATTATAATTTGTTTTAATGTGCAGTATTATATAGGCATATTAACACTGAAGCATAGCGAATTTTAAATGTTGCAACAACACATCCACAAGTCACTGCAATCCACTAATGGTATCATTTGACAATACAATAATGTACTCATTGTTGGATGAAGGGAGGGAAATGGTATTTATTTTTATTTTATTTTAGAATGGGAAAGTGTGAAATTGTGAAGGAGAAAGAAAAATAAACAAATAATCATGAGACTATCTCTCTTAGGTCTGTGTCACATGAACATTTCATAGACGCCCAGCACCTAATGCTTATGACTTTAGCTGCATCGATACCTGTGCACACATCTCATAACATTCGTTGTAGATAAACACTATCTTTTGCAAAACAGCACATGAGAGCTCATGGCGAAGTGCACTGTGCCCACAGATCAAGCTACAATGTAAGTCAAGATGAAATGTGTTTTCTAGCTTTCAACCATTTCAATAGTCTTTCATGTTCTGTTATGCCCATTTTTAAAGCAGCAAGTTGGTGGGAAAGTGCAGTAAAGGGGCCTGTTGTGCGCAATGTGAAGTGCTTTCCAATGGTGTTATGGCAAGCAGACTGTTGTAAATTGGAGGAAAATTGAAATTATATTCTCTTAAAAGCAGGGTATTTATATCTTTAAGAATATGAAAACTGATGGAACTGACAAGAAATGTTCCAAATGCCAGGAAAATATAAATTGCAGGAATATGAAAGCGGGGCTTTACTGTATATAAAAAATAATTTCTTTAACTTTTCCACTTACCAGAGCAAAACTCTTCAAACCCTGAACTTCTCACTGTACGCAGTCCTGCATCTACAATGCCAAAACTAAGAATAGGATATGGCAGAGAAAATTCAGACACAGACTGTATGTAGGCACAGGTTTCATCAGAATTTTTGTAGATCTGGAAAATATATAACAGCTGAAAAAGAAAACAATAATATTACTTCTGTTCATAAAAATTAGTTTCAATTTTTAATCTACAAGATAAAGCTTTCAAGAATTGTTAGTTATCTTTAAAATATCGATTCCCTTCATTATCAACATTAAAAAAAAATTTCTCTTAGCTATATGTTATGCTGTTTTCCAGGTTTCCAATTGTTGATGAAAATGAGAGATTTGAAATGCATTGTGCACCCAAGAATGAATAATTTATTCTCACAGCTTGAGTCATTCCGCGTCAAACTTAACTATTTTGAATTTAGGTGGTCAAAATTGATTGTAACTTCTTAAATGTTCTAAAGGTAAAGGCTTAAATGTTTTGCTAGAATTTAACTTAATTATTTTGGAATCTATGCCCAATGAAATTTTCCAAAAACGCTTGAGTACTGACAAATAAAATGTTTATATCTCCTGATAGGTTGATCGCATAGATTAGTCTCAAATAAAAGCTCAAACATAGTTGTTTCAGACTATTTATTCTTGGATTTAATTGTTAAATATCAATCATTCATTAACTCTAAAATTGCAATTTTACAAAACTAAAATTTTGTTTTGAAAACAATAGTATATTCTCTGTTAAATAAACTTCAAAAGAGCAAAATTTCAAGAAGTAATACATGTTTATATATAATGAAATTAAAAAATATTAATTGAATGTGTGTACAGCCACATAATGTTCTGTGGGGATGTTACAATATACTCCTCGAATCCCAGGGCTGGTTCTTTAAATTTTAAATTTGAGTTATAGATTTTCCGGAAGGCAAGGGCATATTTATTATTGCAATGTAATCAATTTCTGCATGAAATAATTTTTTAACTACAAAAATAAAAATAAAAACTATGTAACTTATAAGTAACATTGGGTGTTTCAAGATTTGAGTGTGAAGTGGAACTTACTATAAAAAAATTCATAAAACATGGAAAGAATAAACTAAGACTCTTTGACTTCAGTGAATACTGAAGCGATAGTGACTCTGTAACCCCAGTGAAGCTGAAAAGTCATAGAAACTTAATTTTACAGGAGAGCAAAAAAAATCTTTTCACTGATGATATAAATCAGGGATTACTGACATTGAAATGAAACAGACACAAAAATAGTTTGGTTTGAATATCACCTTCGTTTGAATATCATTAATACCTGATTTACTTCAAGTGAAAGTTCTTTTTTTGTCCTCCAGTAAAATTACGTTTTCATGACTTATCAGCTTATTCATTGGCATCAAAGATTTATAAAATACAAACATATACCCAACATTCAAATGTAACAATTTTTTACAACAATAAAAAAAAAAAAAAAAAAAAAAAAAAAAAAAAAAAAAAAAAAAAAAAAAATATTGAGGCACAAAAACACTTTACTTGATGAACAAATTAAGTGACATTTCGCGCAGTCACACCGTGGCATACGGCAAAAAGACTGCTTTAAAATTTGTATTTTGGGCAAATAATCTGCTTTTCTTTAATGTAGGCAGTTATCAGGCAAATGAGTGGCGGTTTTTATTCTTGGAAACACTCTCCCAAATGTATTATTGCCATTATCTTCGCCTTCAGACATTGGAACTGAATTCAGAAGTGTGTGTGCTACTACTACTCAAAAATTAAAGAAATTGAGTTTCTCAAAAATTAAAGAAGTTGAGTTTCTCACGCAACAATTTCATTTCCCACATACCTAAGAAATCTGGACAAAGAAGGTAGCATTTCTGTATGAAGAACTGGTTCTGGAGATGGTGCCAGAGGAAGAGGTTCAAAAAATTGTGTTGGCTGCCAAATGCTTTGATAATGCAAAGCTGTATCGTTTTCAATTTCATCTTCATTGTCCCAATACTCAATTTCTTCACTACCCCAGGGAAAAGGCATGAAAAGAGTAGTATAAGTCCTATCATTGTCGGTGAGGTCGGATATATCAGACTCATCATTGATGAGATCTAACATTTCGTTTGTATTCACTCCAAAAAATATGACTGACCTGCCTATTAAAAATATCTACAAATATTGGGACCCAGAAGTTACATCATTACAAACAAATGTCTCATTTGGCCAAACAACGAAAATTGAAAAAATAAACAATGTATAATAGTTGAAATGCTTTCCTAAACTTAGCTTAGCTTGTAAAAATAACAAATTAATTAGAATATTTAACCAATTTTTTAAATTTACTTTCACTGCAGCACATAGATCATCTTATGTCAAACACATTCATTTTGTTGTGATGCAATAGTGACAACAATTCTAACAAAATCAATGAATCTTTATATCTGGGAGATAGCGAACATTTAACAATGCTACAGAAATTCATGGCACTGTCCTCATTGTTTGAAATAAAAGATAAACATAACATAAGCTATGCAACTTACATATTACACAGGGTTGGAGGGGGACATTAATACTTTGAACAGTGGAGTACAGAATGAAATAGGGACAGTGTGCATAATCTTAACCCCCACAAGGTTTCTACCAGTTTGTTTAACTTTTTGAGAGTTCAATTCCACTGCTGCCATGATAGAACAAGAGACACCACGCTGTCCAGCCGGTCCAGTTTTATTTGTTATTGTGCAAGTAAACCATGTTTACTGCAGGTTTTATATCATTTGTATTAGACTTTTTATAATGAGTAATATCAAGCACCCAAGACAAGACTTTTGTTTCAACCCATTCAATTTCAAAAATCACTGGGACAGAAATAAGAAGCAAAATTTTAGGCATGTGACAGCCTATTTCATTAAACTAAACATGACACATATAGAGTTGTCTTAGGATCTCAGCACTTGTGAGAAGAACCACAAGAAACTTTCATTAGCGCCAGACATTATGGAATCCAGCAATGTTCCAGCATGTATTGTCAATGTAATGATTGGTCTTAGTTCACAAAATATTGCAGAAGTAATATCACTGCTAGTAATATACTGCAGAAGTAATCTGACACCGATAAATCTAGTGGAATTAGCTGGTCGAATTTCACTCAGCAAACTGACCAACTGAATGAAAGTTAAAGTCATTACGAAAAACTAGGGTTAATAAAAAATCATGATTTTTTTGTACATTCCCCAACATTGGTTCTGCCCCTCTAAAATGTAACCCCCTCTTGCAAGAAAGAGACTTAATTTGTCCAAATAAATATGCATTTTGAGTGTTATAATTATCCAGTTTATAGAAATCACATACCATTGTATCTTTTTCATCATTAAAAATTATATGAATGTACACAATACTCTATTGCAAGGGTTAACATCAACACGCACTTTGGCAAGCAAAACATTTTTTTTTTTTTAACTTTTTCTTCTCCAATATTCCTTGTTCACTCTCAATATTTTCTTTTTTTTCTGTATATCTTTTCCTTTTAATCTGACCTTGAAATTTTTATTCATTCTTTGTAAAATTTACAATAATTATATTTTTGATTTAAATCAATGATTTCTTTGGTGAATTATGTGATTTAAATCAATGATTTCTATGGTGAATTATGTGATTTAAATCAACGATTTCTTTGGTGAATTATGCGATTTAAATCATTGAAACCCTGAGGAAACTCCAATAAAGAAGAAAAAATATCCCAAAAGAAATAACCTGGTCAGAAGCTTAACATACTAAAGCAGACTCTGCAAGAAAAGATTTTTCATGTTGCAAGAAACATCAAATAGGTCAAATTATGATGTTATACAGGAAACTACTGTAGTTGATTGTTTAGAAATACTAATGACCAAATCATTAAAATTCAAATTTTTGAATTATTTTTGAAGACAAATTAATCTGTAAAAATCAAAGAACATTTTGATTCATCAATTCATGGGATAAAGATTGCAAAACATAGCCGTACAGAGGAGTGTATTATCGACACCACATACTAAAAGTGAAAAAACTTTACACATAAATAACTACTCATTAACATTAGTTTTTCAAAATCTGAATCTATGTCCAAAACATTGCATGCTTCCTGAAGCAAGTGGAACGCTGTCAATTGGTATATGTGTATACCACACATATGTAAAATTAATGATTGATTGTTGAAATTTTGCAAAATTAACAAGTAGCCTAGAAAAGCTGCTGAGAAATTACATAGATATTCTTTCTAACATCAGTATGTGCAATTCTCCATTCCCTGATTGTCATTTAAGAAATGTTAAAATTGTCCATTGTCAGAAGATTTAAAAAACTAGTTACAAGAGATATTTGAAACCCAAATGATAGATGTTGTTAATAATTCCATGCTATTAGAATGGATATCTAAAGTTAAAAAAAAAAAAAATCAAAAACATTAAGGTCAATGTTTCATTGAATTCGTTGTATTTGACATGTAATGCCACATACATAAAAGCACTATTGTTTACTTCTTTCTTTCATAAGTTTTTGTGATATAACATACATCCTCTAGTTTAACATTTCGCCTTTCACATACCTTATTATATATATCCGAGAGCAGAAGGTATCCTGCACCAAGATCAAGGCCTGCTTTAAGTGCAATATTTTTTTTTGAATTTTCTGGTGTGAAACGTATTGTTTGTAAGCAAGACCAAGACTCACATGACCATAGTTTTAACTCTGTGTTATTTTCAGCTCCAGTGATTGCAAACTTCCAAAACTGGACACTAAATCAAATGAACAATAAATGCATAATTTTCAGCAAAAACTTAAAATACTTAAAATGCTTTGGACAGCACTGGATTTTGTAAGTACTCACTGAGGATTATAAGACTTATGATTATCCAAAAAGAACAAAGCTGACACAGGCTTCCCCCCATGAGGCTGCCAATGATGCAAACAACGTGGACGTTCTCCTGTATGCATGTACACTTGGAAAAATTTAATATCACCATCCAAACTCGCAGTAGCTAGAGCTACACCGTCAGGGGAAAAAGCTGCATCTACAATGGGTTGAGAATGTTCATTAACTTCCAGAAAACCTTCCTCAACAATTTCAGGTTCAAGAGGACCATTGCCATGACGAGCCACCACAACACTGACATTCCACAGTTCAGCCTGAAACATTTTAAGACAAGCAGTCAATTAAGCATGTGTTAATTAGACACTGGATGATAGAAGTAATTGGACTTGGCTCCACTTGCAATTCTGATTTTAAATAAATGTAAAAATATTATATTAGAAATTTGAAAGATTGTTTTTAAATAATTTGAAGCTATGATTTGATAGAATTTAAAGATAAAATATCCTCAATTCTGCACAAACAGCAATAATCAAAAAACTCTGAAATATTTGCAATAATTGACTGAAGCAAACTGCCTCAACTTAAAACTGTTTTAAATATACAACCTCAAGGTGCACAAAATGTAAATCTATTAAAAGGACAATGCATTCAATATGTGGACAATATTGGGAACTGTTTTGAACTTCGATACGCATTTGATATTGTGACTGAAATTGCATTTCAGTTAAATATATCACAAGCTCCTCTCACAATAACATTGATCTTTTGAAAATGTAAAAAACTAGATGAAGGAACCCAGTGTTGCCTGAGTATGTATCAGAATACTGAATTAGACAGCAAAAGTAAACAATTATACAACTAGTGTAAATAATTTTATTTACATCTCCCCATGCCCCACTCCACTCTTGATCTGCCACATTCTGACATTCCCTGCTCAGTCCCATTTTTACCCCCAATTCGTTTTCCCCACTGTCCTGCTCCGCCTGCACTAACGTCCAACAATCTAATACTAGGACATTTTACGAACTGCATTAAAGTAAAAATTGACAAAAAAATTACTGTTGACCCTTCTGATGAGGGATTTTGAAAAAATACTTTAATTACGTTTTGATAATGGTTCTATACTTTACAATAGGAACCAATATTCCAAATTTCGGGTTTGTAGCTTTACTTTTATGATAGTCATTTTTGTCTAAGAAAGAAAAACTAAGTTTTTATTTTTAGAAGTACATTATTTTCATTAAAACAAACTATCACCATCACTCTTAAAATTAAGAATAAAAATGTCTGTATTGTTTTGGTATCAGATTATATAAAAAATTATTTTAAAACATTTTCCATGTTTTCCAAGACACAATAAGGTGAATACAAATATTCTCTCCAATTTCTCAGCTACAAAAATAAAAAATATTAATATCACAATTTTAATTCTTACCTTGCAACCACGAGTAAGGACTAGTAATTTTGCAACATCATCATATGGAGAGGAATCCTGAGAAGTTTCTTCCTCTTCATCAGGTATAAAAGGGCACCATATTACTCTATGGGTAATGCATCCACTGATTTCTTCCTTTCGATGCTCTACATGAAGCAATAATGTACATCTACAATAAAATTAAGGAAAATATATTCTAGGATAACTTTTTCGACTTAAGAGAGTCCAAAACTAAACAAGTGCTGCATATCAATTGTATATACAACAAATTCTCTTGGTCTAACCCACAAGCTTCACACACTCAGCAATTAGGCAATACTTATAGTTCTCAAATCATGACCTGAAACAATGAATAACATGTGCCATGTTCATAATTCTTTTCTTGATTTTTATTTTGAAAAATATTCATTCGCATTTGTTAAATGGGGTAATTCTATTTGTTTTTCTACATTGTAATACAATTAATTTTTCATTCTTTCTTATTAACTTCTTTGATCTGATGTATGGCAAGAACCCACTCTCCTCATAAAAACATAATTATGCTAGGTAGCTTGACGGTGTTGACGTATGTCCTGCACTCAACTGAAATGTATTCATTTTTCTTCAAGCACCTTTTCTTTCTCACTTGTGCAAATGACATTTCTTTTAACTAGCCATTGAAAATTATAATGTGCAGTTTTTCTGCCATATAGACCAATTTGAAGCCAAATCTAAATTACTAAATTGGTGTGATGAGTAAGTGCACAATGTTCATAACATTTATTTTTAAAGTAAACAGACCAAAAAATAATAAACTTATCATTGGGACATTCCATGTCATAATTAATTTTTATCAAACATTAATTTTTTTCATTATCACAATTGCACTTTTTAGCACATTTAGGGCATTGTATGCTTCCAATGGATAATCAAATTAACTTTTTTTCGAAGCTTTAAAAAATCTGCTCTTTCTAGTAAGACAGGTTTGAAACAATTTCTAGAAGATACGTTTTTGTTAAAGAAGGCTGCAAGTGCTCCATTTTGTGGCTTTTTGTTAAAATCATCAATTTCAAACTTAGTTTATGAACTAATGACAACACCTAAAAGGTTGAAATAATGCAATCAAAAACCATGTAATGTTGATATGTCATGAGTCGTTTTAAATATTAAGAAAGCTATTAACAGTGGCCACTCATTTCCTGGAACAAATTTCCTGATTATTCCCATTTTTCCAGTTAATTGTTTTCTTGATCAAAAGTGTAATTTCAAATTTAAAAAACACAACAACATTAAAAGCAGCTTGATACTAATCAGACCGATCTCTGATTTTGCGAGGACATACTACAAACACAAACGAATAATATTTTTAAAACAAATAAAAATTGAGAAAAGAACAATACTGTATTACTGTTTTTAAGAAATAATATTTAGTTTTTATAATGCGATCAGTCTTTCCTGACATTTAATGATTTTTCCACAAATACCCAGATTTTTCATATCAATGAAATTCCCTGTATCTCAAAAGCTATTTCACCAACAAACTTCATAAAAGTGTCTTTTAGACGTGGGGCTCAACATAAATTCTTTTATCAAAATTAGAGATAGTTGCACAAGCAGCCTTAGATCACTTGACAAGGAATGATCCCATTTTCTTTCCTCATCCAAGTAATTATTATTGTTCATACCAACCTTAATACATTTACCCTTTTTATATATTACATTTAAGTGATAGGGACATTTTTAAAATTTAAGTTTGTAATGAAAAAATTACTGCTTCCGTAGATTCTGTCAACATTACTGCCATTCATGTGGATAGTGCTGTGTTAGTTTGCTATTGTTGCCTGTGATTCGCATTTTGCTGTTTGCCATTTTTCCTAAATCTGCTTTTAGTAATTTCGTCAGGTACATTAATTAAGTTCCACACATTTTTATGTATTATTTACCAATTGTATTTACCAACCATATTTACTATTTGCAGTGGAGTTAGTTGAGATAGTTTTAGGAGTAGTTGTTTTCAAATCAGTATTTTTTGTGGAAAATTAATTGTATTATATTGTAAATTTTTCTTAATCCAATTTATTAATAATTGAAAAATAATGGATAGTTCAACTACATTTGGGCCTCTTCTTAATTTTGTCTTTAAGGTTAAACTGAATTTAAAGTTCTCTTTCAATGGTAATCGTAAATTTACTAAGTAGATTGTCAAAGGAATCAATGGAAGAAGGAGTATGGTTTCTCTGACGGACAATTATCGCTAGTCATATTTGTTTGACAATACGAATGGCAAAATTATTACAGGTAATATTTTTTTTATTACTAGGCCCTAAATATTATCTTATAAAACTCACAGGTGTACTTTTTATAATTAAAATAGTTATTGGTGTAGTTATTATCTATTATCATTAGTTATGCATTAATAGTAATAAATACAATTTTCTTTCTTCACCTTTCTATGTGTTTACAGGTGTGACATCTGTTGAAGCAATTACAAAAATCAAGAAGCTCTGATCACACCCAGAAACGCCCCTAGAACGACCCATCTGGGAACTATATTGATTTTACAAAGGATACAATTTCAAATAAAATATATTGTAGTTTGGGTGCAGAATATTTATAATTTTTAATTACTTTGATATTTTATAATTATATTAATGTGTACAATGAATAATTTGTTTTGTAGTATTTTATGTGAAGTACCATGGATTATATTTTATGTAGGTCATAGTATTATTATAAGGAACTTGTTTTTCAGAGATTACTGGTGATGATACCAGAACATTAAATTTTCAAGGCCTTCATTGTCAGACCTCCTTGAAGCATACAGGAACATTGGTTTTATTTAGGAGAAGGATGACAGGTATGCTCATGTACACGAAAATGAAACAATAATTTCTAAATGAGAGTACTTCCTAAGGAATTATATTAGGAACTCAAATAAATTCCAGCACAACAAATATTCAGTTTTTATAATGAAACATGGTTATATGTATATGAATTTACTTATACTTTTTTTCTGGGACATTAATATTGTTTCAGTTTTGTTAGCCTGTTTGTAACGGTTTTTGGTAACATTTGCAACATTACTTGTAACTTGGTTTTGTGCAAGTGGAACCACATTTCTCTCCCCAAATCCCACATGCATTTCGAAATTTTCTTTGAAATAATACACTAATTTTAATAGTGAAAATAACCATTATTTTACTTTAATCTTTTTCACGATCCTTATCAGCACTGCAAATGTGATAAGTGAATAAGAAATGTGAAATAATACACTAATTTTAATAGTGACAATAACCATTATTTTACTTTAAACTTTTTCACGATCCTTATCAGCACTGCAAATGTGCATATGTGTGTATGTTTAAGTGGAGTAATTAATACAATAATCTGTTAGCGATTGGATGCATTTTGGAAACAATTTGGCATGCATTTGTAATGGAAACTAAGAATATAATATGATTATCCTGATTTGAATTATTTAGCAAATTAATGAGAGAGTTTACTGTGAAATTACTGTATGATCAGGGAGTAGTTTAAAGTATTGTAGTCACGATAACTGTTAGTAGAAGAATGCAATCTCATTGTGCAACTTTATATATTTACCATCTATATATTACTGTACCATCTATATTGACAATTCCTGTTTCAATAAATAACTTTTAAAAAGTCAAAAATTTATATTTATTACCATAACTATCCCTACAATGTATATAACATCCTTTTTCAATACAAAAGAAATAGGTATAAGTCTATCACTGGTAAGAACAGGCAAGTTACTGAAGATCACTTACATCAATTATGAATTACTTACTTTTGAAAGAATTTAATTAATCGGCTAAATAAAATGAATGCATTTGGATTAATATTAATATCACTGGACTGTTTGAAACAATTCATTTGGTCACATAAAAATTACCACTTATATGTAAATTAATAATCTTAAACAATTGTATTTTTTTTTTTTTCAATATAAATCATTATTATCAGAAAAATCATGAATAAATTGGTAACACTATCATCTCAAAGTTATTAACAAGTCAGCAGATAATTTTTTAACATAAGACCACAGATAACTTTTAATTTTGTGTTTTTCATTTGCTCTTGACGCCTTTTAAACATATCAAACGCTCGCACTTTGCTGATAATCATAGTAAACACTATTTCACGTAATTGTTCACTGAGTTAATAATAGTTTGCAGATGTAAATCATCTTTAATTTTAACAAAATACATTATTGGACTGTGACTGTCGCACTAGGAGTGAATAACAACAAACAAACCAAAGCGAGAAAGTTGACCGGAATGATAGTTTCACAAGATGGCTATTCCGACAGGAAATCTTTTAGCTGCGATTTTGAGAATCTAGTGTGGCCTAATACATAGACTGGACTATTAGCCATCATCACTGTATTAACACTCTAACAAAAACATCTGAAATACACAGTAAGGCACGTGCAGTGCTCACGAAAAACAAATGTTCTCGAAGATCTATACCTGCTGTTAAATACTTCTTTTCTCAAACGGAAGAATTGAGAGATGACAATGCTTCATTGATCTACTCTCTTCACCTGTTGAATCACTGTCAGCATAACATTGGCAAGCTCACAATAAGAAGAGTAAACATAATCAACATAAGTGATTTATCTTCCAATGAATGGAAATAATTACATTTTATATAATAATTTCTATGTCGCTACATCACTATAATTTTTAACCTGCAAGGAAGAAGAAAACTTTTATCAATAATTATTATAGCAGAAATAACATTAAATTTTAAATTTAAAGTTATCAAAACTAAGAAGATGATAATTCAATATTTGAAACAAGCAAACATTCATTACAATACTTATTCACAAAAGTTCAATATTGAAACATTAAAAGGATACAGTATCTTATTATCTGACTCTTGAACTGTGTACACCAAGAGGCTTCCAAATTCATCGACGTAGGCTAACACAACTTCCTGGGGGATATGAGCAAACGCAATATCTTGAATCATTCCTTGCATTCCTTTCAGCAGAGAACGCTCATTGGTGACTCTATTGACTATTCTCACAACCCCATTGCCTTTTCCTACAGCTGTAAATGGATGGATAAGAGAACAATTAGAACAAAATCAGATGAAAGAAGCTATTTAATAACAGAGTGGTGGAGACTGTCATTAGGACATTAGCAAATATATTTCTGGGTTCCAATTTTTGTATTTATCATGCAAACCTTTTGGAAAAAACAGCTTTCACTTCTTTATATTTTAGTTGCTACAGGTTTACTTTTTGTTTAGTTTTATTTACAAGGTTTATGCTTTAATATCATTCTAGATCACTGTCCAGTTGTCATGATTACATTGAAAGCACATGAGTATTTTATGTATTCAAAGAGAACCTGGGAAATGACGATGTGATGTTTGTGGATGTCAATGAATGTAACAATACATTATCATTTTAGTCTTTGTAGTTGCCATAGTAGTAGCTCTACCCAAGTAGTGGCAAATAATTAGTGTTCAACTATGAAGATGTAAGATTATATTGTAGAGAAGCTTAAGCTAAAAAAAGCTGAGGTGCAAAACTTAATATGAGGACCTGAAAGATTTCCTGATCTAGATTATGGTGGGAGGAAGACCTGCAGCCTCACACAAAGATTTTTAAGCCCCTACAATGAGATTTTGTGATATGCAAGATCAATGTTTTAAACAGACCATTACAAGGACTGCATGTTGTGAACTGTATTGTTTCTGCTCAAATTACACCAGTTTCTCCACAAATTCTTTATATTAAAAATTGAAAATGTAACGTTTCACTTCTATGATCCTTCCTTTTTGTTTCGTGTCTAATTTGATAAGATTGATTGGGTGTGAGAGCCAGAAATAATGCATTTTTATATACCATAGTTTTAAAATTCAGTTTATGGGAGGGAAGAAAAATGCATGTCTTAAAGGCATATGAAGGGTGTAATGCATGAACCTGATACAACACAATCTGTAAATTCGGAGTGAAATCTTTGCAACAGATAACACAATTCTTTGGAAATATATTTCTTTCCTAGCATAGGTATTTTATATACTGATTTAAATTTGTTTGTTCATGTTCTACAGGAACATTTATATCATAAATATTGGCTAGAAATTGGAAAGACAAGTTAAACTTTTTTTAGTCGTTCCACAAATACAATGGTTACAGCAGGAATACTTGGAGAATGGTCACCAGGTCTACCATGAAACAAGAACATGCAACAAATATTAACCAGTAGTACATGAAGATGAATTGTTCAGAACATAAACCTGGCAATCAACACAACTTGTTTTTATTTACATCTTTAGGCTTTAACCCAATATTATTTACAATTTATTGGCAATTGAATAATTGGAGTCTACAAAACAAAAACTAAAAGATTAATCTTTGGTTCCATTTTCATTTTCTACTATTGATGAGTTTCCTTTTTAGGGACAGGAAGGCAGCATTAAAAAATTCAAAGATGTATTGGCATATGGACAATGAATAAGTAAATTTGTAATTTTTATAGCTAAATATCAGTTAAAACCTGATATTTATCTACAACCATTAACTTTGGGAGAAAATAAAAATCATTCATGTTGTATTGATTTGATTTGTTGAAGTTACTTACATGGCCACTAAAAAGCAAATATGCAACGTAACACAATATTCCATCTTTTCTGACTACATAAATGGCTGTGATGGCCAAAAACAATTTTGTTTCTGTCATCATTTTAAGTGTTATCGAAAATTGGGAACTGACATAGTGTTTCAAAAGAGGTGTGGAAAAGTGAGGAGGCTTACATTGAAGGAAAAAACTGGAATTAAGATGATGTTAAAACATTCATTAATGAAACATGTGAAATTACACATAAATAAAACATTTTCTCTCGTTTCTTCACAATTCAAAACTTGAAGGAGTCTTTATATACTACAGTATATATCAGCTACACATTACATCTTTCACAGAAATAGAAAAATATCTCTTCAAAAGAACATACATTTCCAAAACTTTATGTTATGGATCACCAATACTTTCAAATAATGAACATTGATGATTCAGTAAAGACAAGACAGTTTCAAATTACTATTATGTCTAGTAATTAATATTTTAAGCTCTATGCTTATACCCCACTTTAACATTTGCCATAAAAACATCTTTTGAGACCCTAATTGGTCAGGTCTACTTTCTTGAAGTGGATTGGGGAAAATTTTGGGTGACCTACATCAATTTGTTTGGAGAAAAACTTAACCATTACTGCATGATGCAAACTGAGAAAAATCCCTGCATCTTATATTGCGGAGCATGTTTTCTTCAGAAGATTCAGATAAGCTACAAATAGTAAAAGGAATATTGAAGAAATTGCAGTGCACAAAAATATTAGACACCTGAAAATTTGAGGAACTAAATCATGAGAAATTATAGTAAATAACAAAATGAGTGGACACAGAGTAAATAACAAAATGAGTGGGTAAAAATGCAAGAGTGCTATGTTTAAGAAAACAAACAGCAAGAGGAGCGAGTTTTCTTAAATACCACAAGTGTAATTATACCCCTTTATCCACATGTTACATTCAATATTTTTTTCGCTTCCATTTAAGAATAATTTAAATATTAAAAAATTCAAGTATATCTTTACAATGCGAGGCATACATTTGATGACGTATTGCTTCTGAAAAAGATCTATTTTAGTGGGCATTGCTTTTTGTTCGTTTGCAAGGAATATTTGCAAATGCAAGGTACTGGACATATTGTGGATAAAATATTAGAAGAAGCTAACAAAGTCATGAACACGTTACTTCCCACATGTAAAAGTAAAGATGGGTATGAGAGAGAATACATTTATAAACATTGGGAAGCAAAAACAAACTAGTCACTTCTGACACAGTTTTGCTACAGCGTACATTTTGGAGCAGGTAAACTCAACTGATGTTTACATTTTTTACATTTGTAATCCTAAGACCAAATGTTTTACAAGTAAAACATTTAATTTACTCATGTTAAGTATTTGATGTTGCTCTAATCAGATAGTTTAACGTTTAATTTACCAATTTAGTTTTATTCATTTGTTGTTTATATGTAGTTGTAAGTACATAATCTTAGGAGCAAACTTTCAAAGGTGACTTGTCCATTTGGGAAAAATTGAGGTTTCCTGTTGTTTTTACCTAGAATTTTATTTCTAGAAAAAAAAAGTGAGATGTCTTACAATACATTAAGTAGTACTCTATTCGTTGAGTAAAAGACATAGTTAAGTAGTGTAAAATTTGTGTAATATTTATCATTTTTATGAGCAAAAAGTGAAGTAGATGCGTCACATTTTGAATGTTTGCTCCACATCTGTAATGTACATTTTTGTTCACGTTTCATAGACGACTGGAAATGCCTTGGCTATGTGTGTTATAGTGTCTTAATAAAACAATTTGGCTCTTTTTCTGCATTCTGATTAGCAGGTGTGAAGTTTTAATTGCATGGCAGAATTTTAATTGCACATGTGCTATTAACAAAGAGATAATCAATTATTTTTTCAATCATAGTCATTCAAAAATTAATAAACGATGTTTACAACTGGATATGATACATATTGTCCAAACAAGAATACTAAAAACCAGGAAAGATTACACGAGTAGAAATCACTGTACAAGTAACTAATACTTCATGAATAAATTATTTAATGTACAGCAAAAAGGAGAAACATTTCTTCAACTTGTGTAACAAGCAAAGCCAAAGCAATCCATATCATGGCATTTTAAATTTTAAAAGATGGCCAAAAATTTATGAAAAAATTTATATGTATCCAAATATTTGTAAGTCATCTACATATCTTCTGTAACAACCACCAATTTAAATTATGAAGGTTTTCTTCATCAATATACTCAAATGAAAATGCTAAAAAATATTACTAATTCATTGATCATTCCCAGTACATTTCTGGCTACTTGTAACACTCCCTTCTCCAGAAACTTTCACTACTGCACAGGTTCCCATTTCAGCATTCAGTGTATTCTCGTTAAGTCCTGCAATATCAACATTTTTTTTTCTACTTTCCTTAACTGAATGTATTTTGCATTTCATCTTTTTTCCCACAAAATAAAATTTCACTTGGATATATCATCTTTCCGATATGTAGGCATATACAGCTGAATCATAAAAAATTAGCACCAAAAGCCAAGTACTGAAACAAAATTATATCTTCTATAATTACCTTATAGCAATTTCTTTGTATTACAAGTGTGTATTTCATAGAATCACAAATTCTCACATTGAAGGTACATAGTTGTTGACAATAAAATTATATTTTTATAGTTGTGCAAGTAGTGGACTGCTGGATATCAAATATTTTAATAATAAATTACATTAACTGCAGAATTGTTGAAAATGCTGCTTTTATTTAATTAAAAATTGAGTTTTTAATTAAATAAAATAACAAAGAACATAGAAAATTGTACATTTCATTTACTCAATTTTTTCTTTCTTTATCAATGCCAGTCTATTGACTGAAGTTGTAAACATAAACGGCCTTACTAATAAACATGGTGTAAATTGTATTCTATGCTTAAGTTGAGAATAGCAGGAGAATTGCGAAAATGCCTAACAATAAACACGGAATAACTTGAGCACGGAATAAGTGAGGTGTAGTTTCCATGGCAAACAGCTAAACCTCAGAGAGACTTAACTTAAGAGTGGAATAAACTACAAATGTGAAAACACAGGCAAATAAGAATGAACTGTTTAAGTGTTTCGCTTCATTGTATTATCATTTTCAGTTCGACTGTACTTCCTTTTCTATTGTTTTTCTCGAATATTTGGCAACCTAGTTTATTTCGTAAATCATTAATTTGTTCAAGTTTTCTAGGATTTTTGGTATTGGAAACTTCCAACAGATTTTGTTGGTGTTTCTTACCAGAAGTAGAAGTGCAAAGAGATTTGATGGATAGCCGGGATATGGACAGCTGAGGAAAAAAGTAACCAAGACCACATGAAACTTTTTAAAGAGTATTCAGCCCGGTATACTGAAAAGCTGCCTTCAATGCTGAGAACAGACTTCAGAAATTCTGCAGTCTGCATTCTGAGCTGTTGCTTTCGAAAGTCAGAATTTTTTATGTGCAGGGGCAGGAGAAGAGGCGGGGGGAAGAGCAGGAAAGCGGGGGAGAGAGGGCGGGCAGGGGGAGAGAGGAGAAGGAAGGGAGGAAGGGGGAGAGAGGGAGGGCATGGCGGAGAAAGGGGGGAGAGAGAGAGGGAGGGAGGGAGAGAGAGGGAGGGAGAGAGAGGGAGGGAGAGAGGGGAAGGGAGAGAGAGGGAGAGAGAAGGGGAGAGAGGGAGAGAGAGAAGGAGGGAGAGAGAGAATCACTAAAATAGTGTTATCCATAAACAATTAAATAAATAAAATGATATGACACTCATTTTCTGATGACCATGAAATTCCATGACTTCTCATATTTTCAATGATTCAATATTAAAATAAAGGCTGAAGCTGAGAAATTTCACGGCAGATTTTTGGTGAAATCTACTTCTACCCTTATGAATAATTTATCCCCCCCCCCAATACGAAAAACAAGAAAAAAATACTGTTTAGAGATGTATGATATATTGAAAAGCTGCCTTCAATGCTGAGAACAGAAATTCTGCAGTCTGCATTCTCAGCTGTTGCTTTTGAAAGTCAGAAATTTGTATGTGCAGGAAGAGAGATGGAGAGAGGGAAGGAGAGAGAGAGGGAGAGAGAGAGAGGGGGAGAGGGGGAGAGAGGGGGAG